ATATATATATATATATATATTAAGATGGGTTACAACTTCACATTCATTTGAACTTGCATCATCATAAAATGAGAGTAAACGCAGAGAGAAATTATAGTATCCAACATTTCCCACTCACCGAAAACAGGAACAAATGACAGTGATGACAGTCTTTGGGTTTACACCATGGCCAGAAAAAATATGATTTTACCAAAGTACAGCGCCACTTTGAACTTGCTGCCACAGCGACGAAGGGTTGAGAACAGAGGTGACGCATGCAAGAAACTACGGTCACAGCCTTGCCAGCAAAGAAAACACATCTCTTCCCCTGGCAAAGTGCGCTGGGAAAGAGAGAAAAGTTGCTCTGAGTTTGTGACCACAACTCCAGAAAACTAGAGTGTTGATATGTGTGACTGAAAAGGAGCTCCAGTCTGATGTAGAAAAGCTATCTGGACGCCTGACTGTGGGGGAGGCAGGACCAGAAAAGATCACATCAGCCACCTACACCACCAGACATTAGAAGCAATAGCAAAAACACAGTGAATCTCCATTGTTATGACTTCTTTCAGAAATTCAGTCATTAATTTTTGAAGTCAGTAACTGGAAGGAATTAGGTAACGTATGGGTCGAGGTCCAAACCCAATGGCCAGAAAAAAAAAAAATCTTTCAATTCGTACACCAATACACAACCAATACACAACCCAGCAATCAGTCATGGGTTTGTGTCATTTTCCCAGGAGTGACTGGAATGTGTGCCACATGGAGGCTTTGGGAACACGGTCCTGGAAGCTGAGTTATGTTTTGGTCCTGCTGTGATCCAGTGGACCAGGCAGGGTCAATGTACCTGAGGGTTGACAAAGCAGAAGTGGGTCATCAGCATGAAGGGGGCAACGGGGGAAAATAGGGGAACTGTGTCAAAGCGACGCCCCTGTTCCCGTCTGCCCACCTCCTCATCTTCCTCCGCACCCTCCTAATCCCCCTTTCAAAGTTTCTGAGTAATGAGCTGTTGTGGTAGGGCGGTGGGCACGCCCTCCTGCAGCGACGGGATCAGGGAAAGTCTGGTCTGAGTGACAGCAGGGCGCACATGCCAAGGGAAGCCCAGTGGGGGAGGTCCGGGTGTCTCAATAAAGCTTATTAGCAGGGAGGTGAGGACCTCGGCAGTCAGTAACAACTTCAACATGAGTCTGAGAGACAGCTCATTTGAAAACTCTGCCTGTCTTAAAATGGTTTGAGAAAAAAGACTGAGACGTTGTAAAAG